CTTTGTAGTGTTTCATAGCTGCTTATTTTAACACGAAAGGAAAGGAGTATGTGGTGGTGTCAGTGCAAGGGTGCATACTCTGAGTGAGCTGGGGTAAAGCAGGCACGTTTTGTCAGGGGTTGTTAGAAGATGCAGTGAAGAATTAAAAGACTCAATGCCATGTATTCCCTGAGTTAATTGAGTTTTATGCTTAGATGAAATCAATGGTACTTTTCCTGGAATAAGTTTATGCATTTTCATAGTACTTTTGAGATATTTAAGATGAGCCCATGTAGAGACTGGGCGTAGTCAGATAGGTCCCTGCATTGTGAGGGGAGTGCAGTTCTTCTCCAACATGAAAAACTTGAGACTATTGTTTTGGAAAATGTTTTTCTTGTAGTTTAGCCTTCATTTTCAATGAAAATTGTTCATTTGTCTGTTCCAGGTATGAGGTAAAACGGATTTTGAGAAAAAGCAAGTCATTTCCATGCTTTCATATGTATCTTAATTTTTTTTGTAGTCCTTTCAGAGCTGGTAAAAATCACTAATGCAATCTGTGAGTTTACCATTTTTAAAAAGCAGGTTAAAAATTAAAAATGTGAGATTGTAAAAAATAGATTCATAATGTACTTCATAGTATAGGGTTGATTTCGGCATGTGATATTGAAAGAAAAAAGAGAGAGACTTGCACTGCTCTTCCCAGTTTCTATCAACTTTTCTTTCTCTATTTTCTTTTCTGGCTTGCTAAGCTACAGTGTCAGTCCAGTGAGACATTGACCCTTCAGGTAGCTGACTTTTTCATGTTCCAAAAATCTGTATTTTTATGTCAGTGATTTCTTTGGTGTTTCCCTTGCTGCAACTTTTCAAAAAATCTGTCCAAGGACATACATTCTTCAGTGATTTCTGCATCACTGAAACTGGTTCAGTAACTTAAGAAATTTTCACACAAAAAAAAAAGGTATTGGAAAAAGTGAAGCCATGTATCACACGTAAGATGAGGAAAAAGGACTTGTGTAGGGGGTTTATAGCTGACAGCAAACAGTAAATCCAGCAGGTCACGAGTGATATTGTGAGTTAATGTCGCTGGCAAGACCATGAGTGTTGAACATGCCTTTGAATATAAAGATGATCTTGTGATTTTGGCACCTGTGGCTCTGCTGGCTCCTCACTCTGCTTACATAGTAGTCCCTGTACTAACACAGTCCTGTAGCCATTCTTCCAATATAATGAATGTATGCCACACCTGAGGTGATCAGGAATTTCATGCAAGGCATGATAACCACTGAGTCAGCAAATACTGGAAGATTACATTGGTAGTATAAGGTTTGGATATATTCTAGAGCTCATTATATGTCCTGGCTTCCACTCCAAGTGGTATTTGTAAACCTTTGGTAGGAGAGGGCCCAGTTTAGCCCAGGAAATGGTTCACTTTGGAAATGTCCAAAACAGTTGTCTCAGACTCTATTGTCAACTGTTATCTATAAAGAAATACCTTTCAGAAGTCATGAACTCACTGGTATATTCTTTAATGTCTAGTTGATAGGGATGGTGTCATAAAATCCCTTAAAATTCTTCATTTCTCTGTAGCTGGGCAGAGCTGCCAAGACAAAGCTGCTAAGACAAAGGTGCACACAAACACAAGTTTTGTTCAGTACTTCACTTTGGTTTATAAAGCAAATCCTGACCCTAAAGAAACAGCCGGTCAACCCCAACTTCTTTGTTTCATAGCAAATGAAACAAACAATGTGTGTATGCACAGAATGTGTTATCAGTTGCCCACATATTTAAGTCTTTTTGTTTTGTAAGCTGTTAGTTTTTCTTCAAAGAAAATTCTTAGAGGAGAAAAGTGGACAGAACACAATGGAGTATGATACCATCACAGGGCCAGGAAGAGGTTGCCTTGCAGATACTCTGTGGTCTTGCACAACTGATTTCTAACATTAGGTTCTCACCAATGAACATATTATTACCTTTCATTTAAAAGATGCAATTAGTGAATGGATGCTGCACAGAAGCGTGGTTTTTAACACAGAATTCTAAACAATCTGGTTTATCTTTGGTGGAAAAAGCCTGTTAAATGCATAAGGACCCTTAATAGAGCATCAGTACTCAATGCAGTTCTTACAGTCTCTTTTTCTTCCCAGCACTTTTCTTTCTGGTAGTGCTGTCAAAATCTAGCACTTCTTTCTAACATCACTCATGTGTTCAAAGCCATCTTCTAATTTGATTTCCTAGTTAGATCTCTTGGAATTCCGTAGATTATTATTTTAAAAAACTAAAAATTTTTTCATTTACTTGCATGTGTGGGGTTTTTTTGGAGGGATGAGTGTGGGGTGGTGTGCGGTTTGCCTTTTTTTTGCCCTTTTTCTTTTTTTTTTTTTTCTTTTTTTACTTACTTTTTCTTTTGGCCTTTTTTTTGGCCTTTTGGGGTGGGGGGTGTGGGGGGCTTTTTTCCTTGCCTTTCCTCCCCGCTCACCCCTCCACTCCAGGAATCTTCAACTCTGGCCCCGGCATTCTTTTCATTCTGATTCCGGCAATAAACTAGATGCTTTCCCTAGTTTGATACCCATCTTTATGTTGTCATAAAGGCGAAATGTGATAGTACCATCTCTCAGTTGTAATGTTGGGTTCAGCCTGTGACATTGCTGAAAAGATATCTTATGGCCTGCTGGATTTTGATGGAATTGTCAAAACATACCTTCAGAGTCCCTGGAACTTGGGAGAAGGAATACCTATTTTCTACTTGATACTGAACTCAGCATCCTTATGCGATTCCAGATTTCTCTTGTTTGTGTATTTTTATTCCATTAACCTATTCAGTTTTACAAAACAGTTATCTGAAGATAAGCCAATATCATATTCCAGTGTTCCTACCTTAGTGTCTCCATCAGGGAACATCCTGGGAAGAGGCGCTTTGACCAGTACATGAAGTGGTTAATCTGTTCATGATTACTAGGGGCTGACTTTACATTCTGCCTGACTTTAGGCAGAGAAAGTATGTGACATGGATTCTAAAATCTGAAGTATATTGGAGAAGGATACTGAATATGCTCTTGTTAATTTTCACTAACTCTGTTTTCCTAGTTCAGTCATATTTTGCTGCATTTGCTTCCCACTTGTTTAATCAGATTTATTCTGGATGACTCATTGTGGTTTTATGGCTCATTTGGTGTAGAAATAAAAATACCTGGAAGAAGAATGCATCTTTGCATATGTCTTACGCTGTAATTAACAAAATATTTCTTTTCCGTCTGCACTGAATTATTATTATATTCGTGATTCCATCACTTTTCTGCTTTGTAGGTAATACGATATGTAGAGTTTGCACAGCTGAATATATTGTTAAGAAGGAAAGAAAAGTGAAAAAGTCACTGCTTAGACTATATTTAATCATACTTAGCTCCACAAAGTCAATACTGCAGCTAATAATCGGCCTCATTCTTGTTTCCTGGGTATGTGGTTAGTCAGCCTTATGTTAATATCATCTGGCAGTTCAAATAGAGGTGTGGTTAAAAGTTTACTTTTGATCATGAAGAGCAGAAGAAACATAACTTTCATTTCAGAAAATATGTATACAAGTATATATTTTATAAGCAAATGTGAAAAATAGGAAAAGAGCATTTCTGAAATATAACTGAAGACTGGACAGTAATTTGCTAAAGTGAAGGTGAACACAGGAAAACAATTCTTGTTTGTAGCTTTCTTGCTTGATTTTGTGATTTAGGATTTTCAGTAGTGTCTTTAAGCTAGACTTTGGTGTTTAACTCAGGGTGGGTTGTTTGGGGTTTTTGGTTTGTTTTTTTTGGAAGGGTAATGAACTTAAAAAAAAAAAAAAAAAAAGATACCTATAGGAATTAAAAAAAAAAATAGTTTTTGAGTATTTAGAACTACCTGAAAGACACCATGGAGATCAGAGAAGGGAGAAGTTGATTGTTTCTTCTGAGAACATAAATTGACAGGAACTTTTCTGTATTATCATGTAGACATAGTTACTCAGGAAATGTGCTATACAAATTTAATAATAAATAACAAACAGGATTATTTGGCTCTTCTAGTACTATAGCCAGAAATTAGTATGCGTAGTTAAAAAATGAGTATGGATTAACTACTAAAGGACCAGCTGCAAAGAAACCCACAAATCAGAAATAAGAGACCTAGGATATTGCAGGTAGAATTTGTATTTAAGGACGGAGTCATACAGATCACTCATATCTGCATATTTTAGTATAATTTTTCTTTTACTAAAATCTCACTTGAGTAACAACAATTCAGAAAGTGTCATTATTCACTACTTAATGTTAAGTTGGAAGAACCCGGTTGTGTCTTGGTAAGCAGGAAAGGGAAACTATTTTCAAGGTAGAATTTAATTTGGGGATTACAGTGAGAAAATGGCAATTTGTTTTAAGAATGTGGTGATGAGTACTTTCTTATAGGTACACAACAGCAGAATTTGGCAAATGCATGCTTTTCCTCTTCTTTGGGTTAATTTGCTTATAGACCAGCATATCACCATTTACATCTTATTGAATTATTACTGTGCAATGTAGCTTAGTAGATGTCATTATTTCGTAGAAGGAATGACAGGAAATGGATTGAGTGGAAGTATGGATTTTTTCTTTAGCATGCGAGCTTACAGCTTTCAAAAAGATCTTGTATGTGGGAGATGTGGCAGCCAACATCTGAGTGAACAGGTGTTCCAAACTCCAAGGTGCTAGTTCAAAGGGTACTTAGTATTATTATAAATAAAACCCAGTGATATTGTATGAGAACATACAGAAGTATCAATGTTTCATGAAGATCCATTTTCCTTGCTAAGGAATTTTGCACCACGTCATTTTGCGTTTTGCGTTGTGTGTGCTGCATTTTATTCTAGTGAAAATCAGTGCCGTTCAGTCTGGCATGCTGTGCAAGCAGCAGGCCAAACCCCTCCACATACTTGGTGGGCTTTATGTGTAGTGTGTTTCTTTTCTTAATTGCATGTTTCTAGATAATTGTTAACAATTTTCTAAAATTATTTTTAGCTTTAGATCCGGCTAAAGATCCATGTTTAAAGATGAAATGTAGTCGCCATAAGGTCTGTGTTGCACAGGATCAACAAACTGCTGTTTGCATTAGCCACCGAAGGCTTACGCACAGGTAAATACTTTAAAAGTTAATCCTATAGACTTTATAATTTTTATAGTGTTCGTGACTGACTATAAACCATAAATAAGCTATAATTAGTTTAGTTATTTAACAACATATGAGCAGAGTAGAAGTGGTTTTTAGAAGTAATTATGTATGCATAATTTGATTAGAATATTTGATATTTGATTTTTTTTATAGGCTGGTAAACTAGAGGGTGTACACATTTATGTGTCTCAAGCTGTTGATATATATATACATTTAAGGAAATACCTACTGTGCTGGTACCAAATGAATATAACGATTATGATAATGTCCTGCTGCTGTACATTACTTTGACTTCATCATTTCTTACATGAAGCTAGAAAACTCAAAACTGCTTGTTAAAGTGTGGGTAATGGCCTGTTATAGTGTAACTTGTCTGGGTTTTTTTTTTCTTTTTTTCTCTTCTTTTGTGCATTCCAATTTTCTTTTGCATTCTTGAACTGGTTAGATGTAGGGAATAAATGATAAATACATGATAAAGTTATTCTGGAGTCCAAATGTAGAGTATTTTTATTCTTACCTTTTGGGGGAGAACAGTTCCAGATGCTCTATTTATGCAGGTCTTAGAGTGGCAAAATATTAATGTATGTCTGGGGCAGAAAGTGAATCTGTAGGGGCCTGAACAATACACTTAGCTGAGTCATGAGATTGTTGTTTGCTGAGGAGGTGTAATCAAGTTGCATTTTGGACTTGGGATTGTTCTTTTTTTTTTTTTTACTTCATTGTGAGAAACAAAGCATAGCAGAAAGGCTAAACTTCAATAACTTGATTGAAATAAGTGTGTGTTAAAGGGCTTTGCTGAAAAGGGGCTGAAAAGAGCTAAGGAGAATAAGAGACTTTGTTGACTGATGCAAGAGGATTATTTCCAGCTTTTTAGAGAGCCAGTACAGTTTTATGAATGATATAAGAAATGTTCTTCCGAGTCTCTAGTTATGTTAAATACACCCATCTGTAGCTTTTCAAGCAAGCAAGATAGTACATAGTGAAAGGAAAAGTTTAAACTATACTTGATCTGCAGCTGTGGTTAATTAACAAAAAGGCTCTACATTATTTGTGAAGCTAAACTGTTTATATCAAACACTCTCAGTGTAGAGCTAGACACTTTGGTTTGGTAGTGTTATATCAGGTGCAAGAAGTATTATCAGTCAAAGTTTGGTAGTCTAATTTCAACTACATATAAACTGTTAGGGGACTATCATAAAATATCATAGACTCATAACATGAAATGGTTTCGGTTGGAAGGGACCTTAAAGATCATCCCCCCTGCCACGGGCAGGGACACCTTCCATTAGACCAGGTTGCTCAAAGCCCCATCCAGCCGGGGCTTGAACACTGCCAGGGAGAAGGCAGCCACAGCTTCTCTGGGCAACTGATCCAGTGCCTCACCACCCTCACAGTGAAGAATTTCTTCCTAATAGCTAGTCTGAATGTACTCTCTTGCAGTTTGAAACTGTTCTCCCTCATTTGGTCACTACCCTCCCTGATCAAGAGTCCCTCCCCACCTTTCTTGCAGGCCCCATTGAAGTACTGGAAGGCCGCTGTAAGGTCTCCCCAGAGCCTTCTCTTCTCAAGGCCGAACAACCCCAACTCTCTCAGCCTGCCCTCATAGGGGAGGTGCTTCTGTCCCCTGATCATCTTCGTGGCTCTCTTCTGGACCCACTCGAGCATGTCCAGGTCTTTCTTTTGCCAGGGGCCCCAGAGCTCCACCCAGCAATGCAGGTGGGGTCTCACCAGAGTGGGGTAGAGGGGGAGAGTGCCCTTCCTTGGCTTGCTGGCCACTTGTCTTCTATGACAGTGTCAACTGTGAAAATACAACCCAATCATTTGAAATATCTGAGTGGTATTACACACATTATTGAAAACAGTGAAAAAATGACATCTCCAAGCTAAGTATACATGCAGTGGGTAAAGACTGAAAACTTTTTTAGACTAGATGAAGCTGCATACAGTGGTTGAATTAATAAATGTAATGACATCTGCCTTCATACCTGTATTATTCTTCCCATAGTCCCTGGCACTCTTTTAGAAAGGTAATATTTTAAGAGGCAAAGCTTGTCTACAATACAGTACTGTCTGATAATGGGAAAGTTTGGAATGGCAGCAACTCGGTGACTGGAGTAAGCTTTGCAAATCTAGTTTTGTAAGCTAGATGAAGTGATTCTTTGCATCCCTGTCCTGAGCAAGGACAGAGTTTTCCCAAGCTTAGATCTCCCTGTTCCCCCAGATTACCAGGTTCAAGGAGAAATCAATTGCATTGTACTTTCTTTCTACAGAGGTTTTCTTCATGCAGTCTCTGAGCTTTCTGTAGTATGGTGCAATAGAAGTATGAATAGCATATTCACAAGCAATCATGTCCGATGGTCTCTTAAGAATTATTATTAATTTCCTCAGCTCAAGATTATATTCCTTCACTGATACCTACAATTTGCCTGTTGGTTTTCAACAAAGCCATCTGTTTTACCATGTTTCCAAAGGACTAGTCCGCTCATTTATAAGTCTTGGAAAAAATTAGATGAGAAAGGTTATATTATCAACTGTCAGGTTATATTATCTACCTGTATCAACTTCTAATGTATTTCATTGCAGTAATTTTCCCTTTCCACTTTGTGTATGTGTGTGAGTGTTTGTGCTGTGGTGTTCATCAAAGACTGAATAAATTTTGATTATTTTTTTTTTTTTTTTTTTTCTTGTAAGAAAAAGGCAGTTGGGGATGTCTTCTGGAAAAATAGTTGAGACTTTTCATGAATTACTGGAAGCTCTATGTAAAGAACTTGCCCATAGATTTCCATTTGGACATACTTACTGTATAGAACCATAGATGTACAGAAATTATTCCCAAGACTCTTGCACAGGAAAAGTAGTTTTAAGCACGTGAGCTTATACAGTGGCAAAGACTATCCTCAAGAGATAGCCTGTCAGGGAAGAGGTGACTCTGCATACCTCCAAGATAAGGAAAAGGTTTGTGGTCACCCTTAGACTACTCCAAGGAAAGAAGCATGAAATACATTTATAGCTGAATAGATTATTCTATAGTGTCATAAGGTTGACATTCTCAGATTTACAGATAAATTCTCTCTTCCTAGAAGCAGCATTTCCAAGCAGCCCTATTACCTTGTTCATAAATTTCTGTATATAAATTCTGTCACTTGTTGAGGTAATAGCATAGACAAAGAGGTTGCTAATCAGTGATGGCTTGTAATTGTATCAAATGGAGAAATCACTTTAGTAATTTCTTCCTTTTGTTGTTTTGTTAGAAATTGGCTTGCAGAAAAAACACTTTAGGCATGGATGTTCTGTTATTCAGTCCATGTTGTCCCAGGTGTTCTTATCTGTCCAAGCTATTGTAGCCCTGTATGGATTACTGAGTATACCTCAGTACCATGTGATCGATGGATATCCCAGCCATCTGCAAGGCTGCTAATGATGCGATATGACATGATTCTAACAGGATTAATTAATGTGACAGTACAGTCTACTAATGTGATGATTCTACCTGTGCTTTCAGAAGTATTAAAATTTGTATTAGCTCAGGGATCTCAGCACTGTGCTCTTGCTGCAGTGTGCTTGCCTTTGCATGGTTTCAAATCCAGCTACTGCATCTCATTGTCCTTTTCATGGTGTTGTGGGTCAGATAAGCCTATGGTTTTTCTATTTCTTCAGTTTCCATGTCAGCAGAGATCATGGTTTCCCCTCAGTCTTGAGGTACTGCACACAAGGCTTATTAGGTTTTGTGGGAGACTGCCAAGATGGCAAGTCCTCTTCTAGCACGCTTCTGCAGTGCCACAACATCCTGATGCAAGAGCTGCCTTTATGTACTGTCTTGGAAAAACTGAACAGTATTTGACAAAAGGGCAAAGTAAGTGTAGGTCATTGGTCATGAGAGTAGTCTGGAGTACCAGAGCTTTAGAAAGTATCAAGGCATGGTTAGAGGTGCCAGATTTTTATTGGTAGCAGGTAATCGCGTTTACATTTCTGCTGTCTGTAACTGTCTTGGAAGCTGTATTCTGTGAGCTATGCTCTTAGCTGTGTCTTATGAAGGAAAGAGGAGGTACTTTAAAAGGGGAAAACATGCAGGATACATATTAGTGTTATTTATCCCAGTGCTTCCGCATGGATTGCTGTGGGAAGAGAGTAGCTGCCTTCATTAGAATGTATGATAAACAAATAATTCAAAGTCTGGTGTAAAACAGGATTTTTTTAAATTCTTCAAAACTCTGGAGCCTGATGATGTTTCCTGTTGCCTAAATGGTGTTTTACAATCCCTTTGTGCTTTACCATTTATCTCCCTTGGTTAAGTGTTAGGCTTTACAGGGGAGAAAACCCATAATAGAGTATACCTCATTCAGTTACAAATACAACTTGTAGAATATCAGAATACAGTATTACTAGTACTTGTGTTATGAGCATGTTATAGTAACAAGCAGGATATTCATTATATTAGTTGAAAGTTGTCTACTCATTTTAGTTTTCAGTCACTTCACTTCCAGGAGATAAAGCTATTTGAATCTGCGGTACTGAGAATCTCTGCGAACTATGAGTTCAGCCCTGTGAGTTTGGAGAACAGGAAAAATGTTATGTGGATGTTCAGCCAGAAAAGAGTTGGGACAGGAAACAGAAAGGGACGAGTTAAAGGAGGAGGGCTGTAGATGGTAATGGATATTTCCGAATACCTGTGATGAAATGTGTGCTCTTTGTATGCAGCAGGTGGTAAAGATAAATCCTTAACTCTTCACATACTTGGTATTGCCACTTTGAGCAGAGAAGAAAAGCATTTGTGGTGACACCACAACATGTAGGAACTCATTAAGGCCATGGAAGGCTGGTAGCTAACCAGACTTAGAAGAGTTGAAAAGTTAGTCCAGCAATGAGCTATCATAGATTTGCAGGTCCTGATAAACAGTCTGTTAACTTCATCTTAGATTTGAAACAGACAATTATAATATGAAGTGACATATCACATAATTTGC